TTTCCGGGTTTCAGTGTGCAAAGAGCAGTAACAAGGGAGTGTTTTTTATTGGGGATTAAGAAAGATACTCACCATTCTAGAAGTTATCCGCAGTGAAACCAAAGATTACTCGATACACATTGGAGAAGGACACTCAGTTACCTACTGAGACAGTTTTTCTTTCCACAGCGTTGGCTGGTTTCTGAAACATGGAGGTAGCAAAAAAAGTGTCACAAGCCGTCAATTGTTTCACTTCAATGTTGATATCAAGTAAATCAATTGATGTTCAACTTACAGTCCAACTAAGCTCCAGTTTTTGCAGGGAATTGTCAACAAAACTTTTTAAATTTTCCATGTTGGGAGCAGAGCCCTTAACAATAACTAGTATGACGTCTAAGAAGCGTCCATAATACACTACGCTTGTAGGTCTGCTATCTGTAGTTAAAGACTCATAGGCAGCGGCAAATAAGCTAGCATATTTTGGGGCACAGGCGGTTCCCATTGTGGTCTCAAAAACTTGTCGGTAGACAGTAGACCCAAAAGACAGGAAGTTATTTTCAAGAACATACCAGAGAGCATTATATAACTGAGGCAGTGAGAACTTTCTTCCGAGTAGCCATTCTTGGATGCCAGCCATTGAAAAATTTGGCAACCTTCATCACTAGGGAGTGAGCTGTAAAAGGAGGTGACATCTTCCTTAAGTAACCAGACGTCCGATGTTTGTGGAACAGAGATGGAGGCCAGCTGTTGAAGTAGCTTCTTCAAATCTCGTAAGATCCATGGGAAGGACAAGAGGATAGGGCAAAGGGTGCAGTCCAGCGACCTCCTTAAGTTAGTGGTGACCCAGTTAAATGACTGTATGATAGGTTGTCCTTTAATTGGGTGCTTGTGGACTTTTGGTAGAACGTAGAACTCTGGAAGGGTGGATTTTGGGAGGCTGTGTAAGACAAACTTCCTGGTTTTATCTGTAAATATAGTCAACCAAATTATATCAGAGTTCATATGATAAGTTTGTTAAATGTAAAGAGATTGTTTTGTATACAGAGGTGTCAGACAGTTGGTGCTTACATTTGTTAATATACCATTTGGACGGTAGGATACTCATTCCAAGGTTTGTATCTCAGGGCTTAAAAATGTATGCGTCGTTGTTGATAAAATCGTCAAAATTCCTTAACATGTTAGATGACATTGAGGGATGCCAATCATTTTGAGGAATTTTTTTGGCCGCTGAGGTAAGAAGACAACTGCCAATTTGGAGGCCAGTTTCTATATCCGGATAGTATTCAAGAACGTCCAAGGATCTATTGGATTTGATATTGAACTTAGCAATGAATTCATCATCCTCAGGTTGGTCTGAAAAAAGGACTCATATATGTACCAAGCAGGAGAAGTCCTTCCACAATTGTAATTTAATTGTTCAGTTGTCTTGTAAGGTGGTTTTAAGCAGAATTTTGAGTTCAGGGATAGTAAAGTCAAAACCAATTTTTCCACCGGGATCAAGAAAGGATTCTGGATGGAGTTATTAGTGATTTGAGTTTCAATCCAGTAGGCGCTTGAGTGAATGAACATGAAACATGTTCGTTCATATCTGGAAAGGAGGAAGAATCCGGTTGGATATGTCTCCAACCAGCGGATATCAAAATCTGGGGGTGTAGATAATAGTAAACCGTTAGACACGGGGCTCAATTTAGTTTCATTTATATGCAAAGTTTTATGCAACACTGTGGAGCCTTCCATATGCAAAGTTTGTAAATATGTATTTTCATTAAGCTTGCGTGTATTCTGCAGCATGGAATGTTGTAGAACAATTGCTGCGGCTGTGTTTTTGTGCAGGGACCACGGAGGCTCAACCGCAATTAACTCATCCACAACCATATCACAACTTAGCAACAAAAGAAAGGAAAAAGGTAGGGAGATCTGAATCAACGATGGTAAGTTTTTTTTAAAGGAAACAATATAGTTGACATCCCTTTTCCAACATTCTAAAGTTTGATTGCTCAGCCTTTTCCTTTTCCTCTTTCTTGATTTGGGTTCTGCCTTTTGACAAGCTGATTCTTCATCCCACCAGTCAAAGTCTCAGAACTTTCTCTTGAACCCAATTGGCATACTTGGGAACTTGGGCAGCCTCTCCCACAATGGGGTTGCAATCCTCAATTCCCTTGGTTGGAAAAGTTTGAGCGGGCAAACTTTGCTGGTGAGGTGTTTTTCTTGGAGAAGTTCCATTTGTGTTTCAAGGACAGATCACTTGATTACTGCTGGGTTGAACTCTTCTACAAGTAAGTTCAATATGTCAGGCTAGAGTTGTATTTGTCAACAGAATCATGTTGGCTTTCAGTAAGTAGGCTTATTGATGGTTTTTCAATAGTGTGTTTAACCGCATTATGAATTTCTTTTGATACGATGGACCAAATTTCTTCAGTTAGAGTCTTTTCTTTTGGTATCGCATCAATATCCATCTCTGCAGTAAGTTTAGCTAAGTGTTTTTTCTCTTGAAGTTCTGTGGCTTCATTTGCTTTGAGTGATGCTGCACTGGTTGCTGACATCAATTTGTGATTGATGAGGCATAGGGCCAGATCAAACCCGCTTCTAAAATATGCAGCGACAGCACCATTCAGCATACTATTCATCATGTTTTAGGCTTCATTGCTCCATTGAGCTAAGAGCTTGTGTAAGTATGTTTCCGATGTGGTAATCCTGTTTTTCACCTACATTATAGAAAATCCTCAAGGACTCAGAAAACCACTCAAAGGACCCCAGAATCAGGATAAGAAGCCCAAATTACCCCAGGTTACTCCCTTACAGCATGGCTAATTCCCATTGGATCAGAAGATATTCAACATTCTCTATTTTGGAGGGACAAAAGGACAAATGGAAAACAGAGCAGAAGACCCCCAAAATCATACAACAATCAGTTCCCACCCTTTGGACTCCCTTGGATCAGCCATTTTCTCACCCTTCAAGTAATGTCACCTTGGATCAGTCATTTTCCCATGACAACAGACAG